TACATTATTATTAAATTATATGATACAGCCGAATGATTTACAATCTAATTTACTTCGCCGGTGAAACGCATTTTATTCAATAATACATATCTAGTCTACGTGATAAAGGCGTGTATTATAAAGTATCGCAAGGTGCTCATTACGCACTCCGTTTTTCGACAGGTCATCTGAGGTCTCAGATTAACGTTTCATTTTTCATTTGTCATAATAACGAAATATAATTGTGTCTCCTATGCTTAAAAGTTGTTTGCTTGATTATTATAAATAAAAAGTAAAGATATTTAGCACGACATGCGTCGATATCTGCTTAACGAATTCATCGCAATGGTTTTATAGCTTTTTTAATGGACATTCGAGAGAATTTCTCAAAGTCGCGCATTTTTATTTAATAATAGTTTTTTGACAAAATTTTCTATTCAATGAAAATTCAGTACCAGTTTTTTTACTATTTTTTTTATTTTATACATTAAATATATTTGTGTAACAACGTTCTATCAATTTGTAATTATTTATGCTTGAAAAATTTTTACTAAATACAACGTTTTTGATATTGAAACAATTGTCACTTTTTGTAAATTAACATCTAAAGTGTTGAAGGACCCTTCTAGAAAAGGGCAGCAAATAATGATAAAGTTTTTAATGATACTATAAAAGTAAACAAATGTAATTAATATTTATTTCTACAAATGTACGTATTATATACATGCACAGAAATAGATATATTAATTACATTTGTATACGTAAATCGTATGTTTAGATTTTACATTACCATGCATCCGATGGCAATATTAAGTGAGACAGTTAATCCGTACGGATATAGGTATGCATCTCGCATCAGTATATATACTTGTAAAATCCATTTAAATTTTATCGTCACACTCTGATCCTGATATCAATTCAGAGCATTATAAATAGGTTACTAAGATATTTTTAAATTTATTAAGACGTGCGATCGATGTGATTCGCCGCAAATTATACGCAGTCGCTACTCGAATAACGAATACTTTTTTTGCAAGGTTAAAATCTTCGCTCTGTCCGTAAATAATTAAAATATTGTGAACGTGCATAACATAATTGCATAAGAACTGATTAATGAGAAAAAATACACTGTACAATACTCTTTAGACATCTTTTTATTCGCAATTCTTGTGAAAGAGTCAATATTTACATATATAATACAATGAATGAGTTATCGCGAATGGAATTATAAAATTACATAAATTTTTGTTTTATATTCCATGATGCTTTAGATCCGTATCAATTTTAGCAGTACACTTAATAACGTATTCTCGCAACAACGAATATTTCTTTGCAAGTCGTGGAACACGCACGCGTAAATACGTCGTGCCGCGTAGATGATACGTAACGTTTTTATGAAAACAACGAGATAAGAAATTTTCGCGTCGCGGAAAGACTAAAATTGCGATCGTGAAAGGCAAAACGGTGAAATTTGGCGCGGGAACCGCAAGACGTTTTACGAGCGCGTTTGGATTTGTATTCACTCCACGCATATTTAGCTACTAATGCAGTTGCGGCAATATATTTCCGCGTCTCTCTCTCTCTCATATTTCCGCGATATTCAAACAAAACTTAGAATTAACTGCACATTTAATCATTTAAATCGCAGTATTTATGACGCAACGCATATAACTATTTCTCTTATTCGACACAATTATAATCTCTTATTCAGTTTATTTTTTCCCCTACGTACAATTATACAATATGGCTATCACTGTGTTACAATTCATGTAAATATCTTTGTATCTGCATTCCTACGCAACGATAACAATTATTGTAATGCATGCATTATAGAGGTTTGAATAAATTCCTAAATAACAAACACGAGAGATGAGAATGCGAGCCTAGATCGTGATCCAACGATTACGTTCCGCAATCGTCGCTATGTAGCGAAGAGATCCGACTGATGCGTCGCTATCTCGGGGTTACCTAACAGCACGCGCGAGGATGCACTTTCGGGCGACGTCACGAGCGTCCGATACGCTAGTCGGTCGACGCTAGCACAGTCGTGCAAAGTAAAATAAACGGCAGGCTAGGCAGAGAGAGAAAGAGAGAGAGAGGAGGGGGGGAGAGAGAGAGAGAGAGAGAGAGAGAGAGAGGGAGAGCAATTCCGTTCACGCAACACGCGCTCCGTGCGTTACCTAAGAACGCGTAGACGCGCAATTCAGCGTAACCGCACGGTTATGAACAAAAAGGATGCAAAAAAACAATGGACGCGTGATCGCGCCGGATCGATGCATATACACACGACGTCGGACGCGGACTATAATCGCATTTGACACGCAGGACCACAGGTGTCCGAAAGCAAGTGCAACCGCTAAGCCTGGCCCCTTCGCCTCTTTATTTCTTTTCTCAATCCTTAAAAGATCGGTCTTTTTCAAAGGGATCAAAAGTACAGTTTGATTAATCATTAACTTTTTACTGCCTGTAAAAGTAAAAATAATATTTACAATATAATAATTTAACAATTTTTATTTATTAATAATGATATGATATTATTTGCTGATAAAATTTTAATTGCCTGTTTGCTCTCTTACGTGAGTTGTGCGAGGTACAATTAAGTTGCATTTGCGTGCTAATTTGCGTTTTTTTACTTGAAAATTTTTAGTTAATTATGTCCTAAGTTTTATAACTCGCCCGATGATTGAAAGATTTACTTAAAACTTATCGCGATTATATTTTGTGCCTTTTTTCAAATTGTTGACAATATTGTGAAACATGGCAATTATGGAAAATGGAAAACGATAAATCACGGAAAGTGTTACTTTCCGTAACCATTTTCAGCGTGATATTATTAATTATAAGTTGTACGTAAGACGAAAAATATCGGCGAACTGCGCCACTTTGGTTTTTCTCCTTGAAACCTTAGTCTGCATGTTGCTGTATATCTATGCATCGACTGTAAATCATCGATTTGCTAATAATTTATGAGTAAGGATCGCTCGATAAAGACCACAGAGCCACTTTTCTTTGTAAGCATGCCCGCCAGCAATATAGGTACATGTTTCGATGTGTGTTTCAGTGTATGCTCTTTTCAGTAGATATCTTAATCAATAAAAAATTCTTTAAGTTTCTCTAAAATTTTATAAGAACTACATGAATATTTATTATTGTTGTCAAAATAGAGTAAACCATTTAAATTTACAAGGTAGCTTTATTTGAAATATTTTATTAAAATAAATCGATATATATGTATATGTTATATGTTCACATTATTTTTACAGAAGAAAAATAGATAAAATAAGTATAACACGTATAGATTTTTGCTGGCCTATTTTTGAGACTATTTTTGAATCGTTTGCAGATGGGATAATGCGAGATGAAACTCCACCAAATGTAGGTTGAAAAACACGCATTGCCTATTACATGTTTCTCTCTCTCTCTCTCTCTCTCTCTCTCTCTCTTTCTTTCGTAGATGTAGACGAGCTACAAGCGCAATTCGTGTTACCTAAGGATCTATATAAAAGCGGAGTGCATCACCGCGAGACTCGCGATAGACGAATACACGTGCATGTATTACTCTGCGGAGTTTAGTAGAACTTAAGATGCGCATGTACGCACAATACACTGTAAGATTAAGCATACATCAGAGAAGAAGAAATGCGATATAATGTTGACAAGATGCAGTTGTAAAAAACTACAAAAAAGAATTAGGAAATAAATGTGATCGAATGAGGAGCTTATGTTTGTTAAGTATAAACATAATGAAATAGAAAGCTTAAATATATTTATAAAACTTTAGGGTACAATTGAAGAAAAATAAGATATACCTAATAATAAAGCAGTTTTAAAAATTTTTAGAAGAAACAAACTTATATAATATACAAAGCAGACTTGTTTATTTCTTTACTTTATTTGTCAATGAGATATTTGCAAAATCAAAATTATTTAATTTACTAATGAGTTAGTGGTAACGAAATAGAGAAGTGCAATACATGCCCAATATCACAGAAATATCAATTTTATCAAAAATGTCAAGTGCAATATTTTGTGTGTAGTTTTCTTTCCTCTTTCACTTTTAAACGATATAATTTGCCGCAAAAGTTCGTTGCGAGAAGTCAGAGTCACTCAGTTTATTATCTCAAATGTCACTCTCAATTAAGATCGAAGTGTCACACCGAGAGCTTTCAAAATATATAAGATTTATATGTAAGCATAAAATATAAGTATTTCATCGCGTCTATAATTTCACAGAGGGAATCTGACATTTCATCGTGAGATTTTTTTTATCGACATGAGACTCATGAAGGAGTCGATCCGTCATCGTCGGACAGGCGAAGGCACAGCTATGTTTCATACTCGTGATCCACGTCGAAAATAATAATTAGCTTCCGCGCGCTGCTGCGTAAGACGTCAGTGCGTGCGATACTTTTACGCGCTCCCCTCCCCCTCCCTCTTTACCCTTCTTTCCCCCGCCCCGCTCCCCCCTTTCTTTCTCTCTGTTTCTCTTTCTCCCTCTCTTTCTTTCCCTCACAGCCACCGGCGTTTTTTTGGTCCAACGACGCCTGTGCCGCTCTACGAATCGCGAGATCCGCGAGGGAAACGTGCGCGACGCCGCGCCGCTGCCGATGCGCGTATGTGTGCGTCCGTGTGCGTGCGTGCGTATCCGTGTCCGCGCGTTCCTCCTACGTCGGCGCCGCGAGCGTGTGTGCGTGCGCGGGAGCGCGCACGCGCGCGCTGCGGCGGCTTTGTGTGGGAGAGCGCGCGCGTGCGTGTGTACGCGGCGGTGCGCGCGTGAGCGTTTCACACCTGACTACAACGCGAGTCGTACGAGCGACTGTTCGAACATCGAAAGACGATCGCGGGGGCGCGGAAAAGCGCGAGAGACGCCGAAAATCGTGTCGGTATACGCGCGGATTTATCGCGCGGCGCTCACGGCGCTCAGCCGCGCAGAATCGATTTATTTTGTCGGCACGGTCTGCGCGGCGAACACGGTAGGTTAGTTGACCGCGGGGCCGAGCGAGCGCTGAGCTGACAGTAGGCCGGCGACGTCACAGTGGGCCGGTTCGAGCCTTCCTTCGTTCGATTCAGGCAGGCTCCTCTATTCGTTTTACATGTAGCAAGGTAAATATTTAAACGCGGTGTTTTACGATTTCACGAAAGAACGTGGCCCAGTGCGCGGATAATTATTTTCAACGTCATTATCGTCGTTGTCGTCGTTGTCGTCGTCATCATTATCGTTGTCGTCATCGTCATCGTCGTGCCGTCGTCGCGGGGACAGACGACAACGGCAACGTTTTAATATCCTGACGATTTTTGTGACGCGTGCGATTTCGTCATCAACAAACGTCAAAATGGACCAACGAGAAAGAGAGAGAGAGAGAAACGGAGAGAAAAGAAAATTACATGTAATTTACGCCGAAGAGGGTGGGATTAAACGTTTTCATCTTTCGTCGTCGTACGTCATCCGTCGACGTTACACTTGCCATGTTCGTTAACCACCGTTCGTTGCCACTAACGTTCCGTCGCATTCGACCGTTGTATCGCCGTATCTACCTGTCACGAGCCTGACGTGCTCCGTGATGAAACAGACAGAAAAGATAGACGAACGGAGAGAAAGAGAAACGAAAAAGGTCGAATCGTGAGAGAAAGATAGCCATCGACCTCGAAGCGAAGGGATCACAGAGAGAGAGAGAGAGAGAGAGAGAGAGAGAGAGAACGAGAGAAAAATCACGGCCTCGCGTCATGTGAAAACCACGTCGCGAAGCACGCGCTAAAGTTTTGCGCCAGGCGCACTCTCGGGTTTTCGTATCGAACGACATTTGGATCCGCGACTCGTGGCTCGATGTTTATTCATCTGATCGGTTCATTTGCGCGCGCTGCTCGCGTTTCGACGCGAGCTGTCACGATGCGTCAAGTGACGAAAGACGCACACACGTAGTCTTTCTCTCTCTCTCTCTCTCTCTCTCTCTCTCTCTCTCTCTCTCTCTCTTCCTCTGTCTTCTTCGCGTCTCTGCGGAGCGCGCGTCGCCGCACCGTTCGGACGACAGCGGAGACACGTGAAAACGCGCGCTCTGACAGCTCGCGGTACGCGTGCACGTCACGTTCGGCAGCGGTCCACGCGCGCGTTTCTGACAGCTGCTGATTATAAATCGGCGCGGCGACCTTGCGCGGCCCCGAAAAGTCTTGGCAGCCGCTTTCGAATCCCGCGGTCGGTCCCGTGCATTCGTTAAGCCGTGACGTGCACGCGCGTTCGAAATAGTTCGACTTCCACTTCGACGACAACGGAAAAGCTTGGCCAGAATCGAGAGAAAGAGAGCAAGAGAGAGGGAGAGAGAAAATAGAAAAAGAGCAATCTCTGCAGGACGTACGCTTTTGGCACGGTGGTCCTCGCGCGTGCCGCGACGCGACGCGACCCGACGCGCCGCGACGTGCCGCGACACACGTGACAGTGAACAGTGCAACGCGTACCGCGCGAACGACGCGCTTGATGGGGCCGCGAGGAGACGCCGAGGATGCTGATTGTGAGCGACTCGTGTCGTTTCGCTCGCGGCACCGCTTCCGCCGTCGTCGTCCGCGATGCATCTCGCGAGTCGTCTCGACACTCGTCTCTCGAAACGATATCGCGGAGAGGGAGTGAGGTCGGGAGGAGGAAATCAGCTGCGTTTATTTAGCACTCAGCTGTACGATAGTCCGAGTGCGAGTCCGCGACGAAAGGAAAAAAAGATCGGAGGAAACGGATGAAGCTTTAAGGAGCAGGAACGTCACGAGAAAGGTGCGACAAAATGCGCGCGCGTGGAGTATACACGGGCGCGTGTTGTCAAGAAGGAGGCAAGTTTGCGAGAGTGCGTGTCCCGCGCGAGCCGCAAATACGGACGGACGAAAATACCTCACGTGCGTCGAGAAATTTATGAGAGAGAGAGAGAGAGAGAGAGAGGGAGGGGAGGGAAAACGCGTAGGGGGAAGTAAGAGGCAGGTCGTTTTTGGAGCACGTTGAGGGAGTCGAGGAGATGATCGGAGATGTGAGGAGCGTCATCGAGTGCGAGCGGGTAAAAGTAAAGCATGACGGTCCTGAGGAAAATCTAGAGCGATCGAACGGCCCGCTCCGACGAGAGTGGCGCCGAGGAGGCCTTAACTATTCGACGTATTCTCTCGCGGATTTCACTTCAGCAGCGGCAGAAACGGCAGTCATAGTCACGTAGTATCGAGGTGGGCTCATTCTGATGAATTCGTGCTAATCCCGATCGGAGACAATCACTTGGATAACGTTATGCAAAAATGAGTTAATCCGCGATATCGGTCTTCCTGTTCTTTTTTTCTTTTCCTTTTCATCGTTGTTGAATGTTTCTCACATGAGCATTTTTATTAAAACATTTAAATCTAGAGACGTTTCTTGTTAGTATCATGAAAAAAAGAAGATGACATTGTTATGAAGATTAATCTAAATTTGGATAAAATAAATTATATATAGCTGTCTCGGTAACGTGAAATTTTAAATTAAATTTGTTGAAAAGCATCACTCTTGTAGCAGAGAGAGAGAGAGAGAGAGAGAGAGAGAGAGAGATAATTTAACTCATTTTTGCATAGCACAATTGAAGAAAAAGAAAAGTGAAAACTCTGAATGAACGTTAATACAAAAGAAGTTTCTTTTGTAAGAAACATTTTTTCTCTACGCTTTTTATAGATCCGTCTCATTTGACGTATGTGTCGTATGTATATATGGTAACTTTCTGTTTGTTATTTGAGTTTCTTGACTGACAATGATCCAATAATAGATTCTAAGCACAGCGCGCGCACTCAGAGCGTGAAATTTTCTTTCATACCGGTATCCGCTTGCCCTTGACGGCTCTTTCTCATCCTGCCCTACTACTTTAATTAGTCGAATTCGCGGCAAAAGGGTTTGAAACAACCCATTGTCCTCGTCGTACGCGTTGACGTAAAGTGCAAGTGATAGTGGTGGCACGCGCCCTGTGATCAAATCCCGACTGGCTTCAACGTACTTCATCGTCCGAAGCTTTGATTAGAATCAGTTTCCGTTTCCAACTAATTCGATTAGCTCTGACATTTCGAACAGATTCGTTAGAATAATTTTCTACGTCGAATTACGTAGGTACTATATTACGTTCCTAAAATACACATTATGACACACGTGGTTATAGCGGATAAAATGTAAATTATATAAATCCAAAATTATTTGCCGGAAGTAAATATTCAATGATTATATCACATTTATTTCGGTTAGATAACCATATAACAGGAATTAAAAATTGAAGTTATCAAAATTATTGATGTTTGTTCAAATTAAGCTTTATATCCAGTTTATCTTCAATTATAGAAAATATATTCAAAATATTCATTTAAATGAATTTATTTATAGTCAAAATATTTATGACTACAATTTGCCTATTTTTCATCTGAAAACTTTCATCTCATCTTTCACTAAATCATCTTTCATTAAAGGGCTCTTCTTGCAAAAATGTTCTTGCGTATTAAATCTGAAATGTCATAGCTTCCTGTCTTTAGAGTGCAACGCCTCGTGGATCATTCCCCACTTCTCTTATATTCGTACGTTTCATTATGCCGCGATTCTAACGCCTGTACGACGACGATAATAGCGTTCCCGCGATCGACTTTGCCTTGACAGAGACAGACCGCGTGTGACGTATCGCTCGCGCCTCGAGGACGAGAATACCAAAGACGACGGCTGCGTCCTCGTTCCTCGGTTCGGCCCTCGCGCCGCGCAGTCTGTCTTCGTCAGGGAACTGCATCCGATGATCGGAGTCCGTGTGCTGTTACGTTGCACAAACGTCAAAGACGTCGGATTTTGCAGAGAATCTCAATGACGAATCCTTGCGATATCATATTTCGGTACACGGTAAATCCTACATTCATTGCGACAGTACCGAATACTGATTGTTAATACGGTAATTTTCCTAAACTTACGCGTTATCGTTTGCTATTAGTAAAACTTGAAGCGACTCTAACGCTTGCCTCATCTGACACGTGCTGACCGTAAAGAAATCAAGATAAGCATAGTTATCCCGCGACTATTAGCTATTAAAATTCACTGAAAAAAAATACAAGTATGAGTAATATGTTAATTCTCGCGTATTTTAAATAAATGAATTTTGCAAAAACAATAACGTATTCGTCGCGTATCGCGGGAGCGGCTCTTTTGGCAGTACGGCCCTGCACTCTAAGCAGCATAGACATTTGACGTTTTGCGAAGGTCGCGTGTTCCAGCTCTCCCTCTCTGTCTCTCTTTTTCTCACTTTGTCTCAATACACACATTCTCTCTCTTTCTCTCTCTCTCTCTCTCTCTCTCTCTCTTTGCGTCTCGCCCCCATCTTTTTCTACCTCGTTCTGCCGTCTGCCTCCCGCGCGGCATGTACGCACACGTACGTACGTATGTACATACGTACGTACGTACGTACCTTCCGACATTTAACGATCGTTACGCGTTCAATTGTTCACCGTCGCCGTCACCGCCGCGCCGCGCCGAGAGGCCGCGCGCGACTTTCCGACGAGCCGTGCCACTCGTTCCGCGACGATATTTTCCGCGGCGCGTTATCGGCATACGTGACATTGAGGATCGCCCGAGAGAGAGAGAATTGCAAAGTAACGCAACGCGCGCGGCGTTAGCCGCCGCCGTCGCCGCCGCCGCTATCGTAGATACCGCGACGTCGCGATGCGCCGCGCCGCGCCGCACCGCGCCGCGGCGTCGATCAGCTGGCGTCGCTCCGTCTCTCTCCCTCCGCACGACACCGGCAGCGTGTACCTCTCCCTTCCCCTGCGCCCCTTCCCGTTTCCCACAGTTCCGTCTCGTACGCGTACATACAACCGAATGCTAATGGAGCGTGCAGACGCGCGTTAGACATTTGTTTGACGCGTGGATTGTGTGTAGGATGTCTGGAAAACCCGTCGAAAGACCCGCACCTGAGTAGCAGACGAAAGTAAGTTGAAAAATTCACGTTCTGAGAATAAATCGAGGAACCGTAATCACAGATACGTATTTCCTGAATTAAATAAACGTTGTCAATATCTCACTTGTATAAATTGGATCAATTCAGTTGAATTCAAATTTGTATCCGGAAATAACATATGTGATGTGTATTCTTTCTTTC